CCAAGTAGCTGGAACTACAGGCATGCACTACCACACCCAGCTAATTTTTTTATTTATTGTCAAGATAAGGTCTCACCAAGTTGCTCAGGCTGGTCACAAACCCCTGGACTCAGGCAATCCCCTCGCCTCGGCCTCCCAAAGTTCTGGGATTATAGGCTTGAGCTACCATGCCAGTGCTTTTATTATTTTATTATTATTACCTGATATTGAGGTTGGATTCGTGTAGGGGAAGATGTGGAATTTAAGTAACGTACATTAGCAAGTATAGGGATCAGGAAGACCCTGGGCATCACAGAATTACGATATCAGTCTGCCTCTGTGTTATCTGGTATAGGTGAAGGTGAAGACCCTAAGGCCCTGAGAGGGGAAGCGACCCACTCAAGGTCACAGACATATATTGCTTGCAATTGGCCCTGTTTAGTGCTCCCAAGTGCGAAAGAGACTGGGAAACAGTATGTTCTGTCGCAGAGGCAGTCTGGTCTCATTCCTAGGGTATAAGCTTCAGGAAGAGTGGTCTCTCCAAAGTCAGCTAAACACATACCCCTGTGGGGACTGGGACCAGAGAGTCTGATGGGGAGCCTAATCAAGGTGGTGGATGGAGATCGGTCTGGGAATGGGAGTAGCATGAGAGGCTGGACACAAAGGCCTTGCCTAATGTGAACAGTCTTGGGAAATACTGCCATTCTCCAACCTCTCCACCCCCCACTGCTAGCCCCAAGGGAAGATGATGTGAAGGGGGCGGAGTATCTTGCAGTGCTAGAAGATCCAGCCCCTTGGGACTGGAGCCGAGGGACACAGAGTCTCCTGGCCAATTTGTTTAGTGAGAACAACAATAATTAACAGATTAAAAGTATATTCATTGCTAGAGGAAGTAGGAGGGGGTTTAGGCATTTGGGTCTGAGGTAGGAGGATGGCTACTGGGGCACAGGCCATGATACTTTTCTGTTCCCAGGTGAAGACTCACCTACAAGCACAGGCAGCCTCAGAAATTGCTGTAGGGCACCAGTATAAGCATCAGGTGAGGGTTCCCCAACCCAGCTGCAGTCCCTGACCATTTGCTCCCGTTTCCCCCTTTCTGCCTGCACCCAACATCTCCAACCCTGGCCACTGCTCTACCCAGCCCATCAATTCTGTCCCACTTTGCCCCTGGAGCCCACCCAAACCCTCTTTCCAATATGTACTCCAGTTCCTCACATCTACTGCCCGTTTTTGTCCTGACCTACGCACTTCCATGCATCCTGCCCCTATGGGGTTGTAGACAACTGAAGACCCACATTCTGGCTCTAAGCCCACATTGAACTGGTTTGTCTGGACAACAGGTGCCTGTTAAGGACCCATCCTTGGCAGTGTTAGGAGGTGGCAGCCCCTGATGCTGGGGTGACTGAACCGCACCCCCATGGTCTTCCCCCCCACCAGGGCATGTTTCAGGCGCTTACCGAGATTGGCCAGAAACATGGTCTGGTGGGGTTGTGGCGTGGGGCTGTGGGCGGCCTGCCCCGAGTTATCATCGGTTCCTCCACCCAGCTGTGCACCTTCTCATCCACCAAGGACCTCCTGAGCCAGTGGGAGGTACTGCCTGGGGAAATGGGTGGGGCCATTCTGGGAATAGGGGGAGGGGGAGGGCAAGATGAGGTGGGCCCTGGAGGGGATGGTGCCAACATTCAAATGTGAGACAGCAGCAGGAGGATTTAGGGGCTCACTGATCCTTTAGACCTCTCCCACGGTTATCTTGTCACTTCCTCCCAGAAGTATCTAAGCCTTCAGGGCACCCTGGCCTTCCTCCTTCACAGTGTTATGGTACTGTGTTAAAAAGTGGTGGTGTGTAAGTTCCCTGAGGTACCAGCTCTCTGTATCCCCAGGGCAGGGCTTGTCCTGCCCTAGGGGTTGAATGATTGGCTGGCTGACAAACCTCCTCCTTTCTGTCCCTTTAGATCTTTCCTCCCCAGAGCTGGAAGGTGGCTCTGGCAGCTGCCATGCTGAGTGGCATCGCAGTGGTCCTGGCCATGACACCCTTTGATGTGGCCAGCACAAGGCTCTACAACCAGCCCACAGACGCACAGGGCAAGGTAAGGAAGAGCTTTGGGGTGCAGGCAGGCAGGCAGGGAAGCAGGGGTGGGGGAAGCAGATTGTGGGTGTAGGTGGGACAGATTAAAATGCAGCCTGAGCCGGACTGGGTGGCTCAGCCTGTAATCCCACGCCTTTGGGAGGCTGAGGTGGGTGGATTGCCTAAGCCCATGGGTTCGAGACCCGCCTGGGCCTCATCTCTACATAAATCAAAAATTAGCCGGGCGTGGTAGCGCGCGCCTGTAGTTCCAGCTACTTGGAAGGCTGAGGCGGAAGGAATGCCGGAGCCCAGCAGATCGAGGCTGCGGTGGCCGGGAGCAGCCACTGCACTCCAGTCTGGGCGACAGAGTGAGACTCCAACTCAAAAAAAATAAATAAAATAAAATGCAGCCTGTAGAGGTGAGACCCCTGGTGGGCTCTAACAAGCTCCTTCCCTGTGCTTTCCCTCCCTCTTTGGCGTGCTCTCAGGGCCTCATGTACCGGGGAATACTGGACGCGCTGCTGCAGACGGCTCGGACTGAGGGCATTTTGGGCATGTACAAGGGTATAGGTGCTTCCTACTTTCGCCTCGGCCCCCACACCATCCTCTCCCTCTTCTTCTGGGACCAGCTACGCTCCCTCTACTACACGTACACTAAATAACAGCCACTCCCACACTCCACCAAATCAGCTGTCCTCGGACACTTATGCCTCCACTACTATGTCCTGGTGACTACTGACCAGGTGAACCTCCATTCATCCAAGGGGGACAGCCAACCCCACTACCCATCTGTTCTCTCAGGGTTGAATCGCTACAAGGGATAGGTTCCCTGTCTTCCTTGAATGTTGCTTTAAACATTCCCTATCCATCTCCCTGTACACTTCACACCCTTCTCTCAGGGCTGAACCAGTCACTCCAAAATTTATTTCCTCGTTCTCTCTACTGCCAGCCTTGGGTCTCTCCTGCTCCCAGCACAGCTTTAAATGGCTGCCTCCAAGACCAAAGGGAATTGGGAAGACCCAGGTATCCTGTTAGACTCAAAAGCACAGAGATTATATTGGTTATAAAGCAAGTTTATTTCCACAGAGAGGTGTCTTATGTTTATGCATGGAGAGGAAATAAGCAGAAACCCAGATAGTCAACCTCTTTTTCCCCTCATGGAACTAGATCCCCAAGTACTCAGCAACATCATGTAGTGCTTCACCTTTACTGGGGACCAAAGATGTTAGGATCAAGAAGGGCCAGACTGGTTACCAGCTGTTCAAAGTCACCCAGGCTCCAGGGTGGAGGTGACAGATTTTCAGGGCCAACAGATGACCTGTTGTCAGGGCTTAAGGTAGAGGAACAGATGGAGAGAGAACACCATCCAGGCCTGAGATGTGGAAGTTCCCACTTCTTGTTCCCCAGAAAACCCAGGTATCTGTGACCCCAAACCTCTGGCCCACTATCACTTCCTTGGTGGACCCCACCAGCTAATCTCCCCGTTCTGCCTCTCCCAGCCAGATTCCCCTGGGAATCTAGTCATGAGGCACACCTGCCCTTTCCTTCCTTCTTACCAGGGCTGATTGAAGGTGACCAAGAGATCAGTCTGGTACTGGGGCAGTCGCAGCAAGGCCTGATGCAGTGTCACATCCTTTGCTACCTAAAAGGATCAGAGTCAGGATGCTTCCCTGGGTCCCTAGGGACACCCCCCTCAACCTTCCAGGACATCTCACCTTCCCAGGCCCTCACCTGCTGGTTTTCCTTAGCTACCTGCTGCTTGCCAGAGAGGATCCAGGCTTCTTGACAGCAGCCTCTCAGGGCCAGGTTCTCCAAACTGAGAGGCTGCACAGACTCCACTTGGACAACCCTAGCCCCCTGCACCCCGCCAACGTCCTCAAAGTGGTACCTGGAATGCAGGAGCAGGGTCAGGGAGGGACATCTCTGATCGCCTCCCAGGAGCAGCGTTAAGTTCTAGGCTTCACTCAATTCCCGCGGTATGTTAACTGCCCTTAGAGTTCTCATTGCCCGGAATAACCGTCCGGCCACAGGCCCCGCCCGCTTCCTCCGTTCCGGCCCTCCCATTGGCCGGCGTGGCCTCTTCCCTCACCGCGCAGCCGCTTCGCCCCGCACGTGGGCCTGCAGCTCCAGAAGTTCCACGATCAGGCTCTGGTCCGTCATGGGATGGCAGAAAACTTCTTGATTGTCCGGTACTGGTCGGAGGTCGCTGGAGAGAGGCGAGGCAGAACATGGTTGACCCCAGCTTCTTCCCGCAACCCACCCGGTCGGCGCCCGGGCCTTCTCACCTTACATCAATGGCCCCGGGGGGCAGGATGGTGGAAAAGGCGCCCCCGAATAGTGGATAGTCTCTCGTGGGCTCCATGAGCCTAAGACTAGGGTACGGACATTAGAAAGGTTTGAGAGAAACCCACATAGGGGTCATGTGGCATCGGCACCCTGGGTTTCCGCGGCTGCCACCGCCTCTGATCGGGTTTCGCTCCCGGACCCTTTAAGGCTTGGCCCCGCCCTGCGATCTCGTTGGCCAATCGGCGCCGGCGCCTTGGGGGCGGAGCCCAGCGGTGTTGCTTCTGAAAGCCGGTGGGGTCGGCTTAGGATTTGTGCCCCGCTCCGTGGCCACTGGCACGCGCCCGCCTGCCTGCTTTTGAAGGGGTTGCTCCTGATAAGGTCGCCTGAGTCGGGGGCGGTGGCTCAAGCCTGTAGTCCCAGCACTTTGGGAAGCCAAGGCAAAAGGATTGCCTGAGCTCAGGGGTTCAAGATGAGTTGGGCAACTTGGTGAGGCCTCGTCTGTACAGTAAATCAAAAAATAAGCCGGGCGTGATAGCGCGCGCCTGTAGTTCCAGCTACTTGGAAGGCTGAGGCGAAGGATCGCCGGAGCCCAGCAGGTTGAGGCTGCGGTGGCCGTGAGCGTGCCACTGCACTCCAGCCTGGGCGGCAGAGTGAGACTCCAACTCAAACAAAACAACAAACAAAAAAGTCGCCTGATACTCTCCTGTGGGGCAGTTGGTTGTCAAAGGGGCCCATGTCTAGGAAGAGTCTCCTGAGGCGGGGAAGAATAGGTGCAGGGTGTTCTCGGGGCCCCTGGACTGCCAACGGGCTGCCAGCCAGACCGCTAATTCCTGGATCCGATGCTGGGAATTAGGGGAACAGTGAGTCCAGGTGTGTGTCCAGCTTAGGATTCAGACCTCAGGGCTTCCTGAAAGGGAGACCCAACCTGGTGATTAGAAGTATAATCCTCCCTTAAATCTCGGCCTTGGGAATGCTCCAGGGCGCGGGGGAGGGCAACCCCCCCCAACCCTGCACCTGGATGGAAGCTTGGATTAAACCTATTGTTTTACAGATTTTTAGGGTGTTCTTAAAGTTTTAGCTTAACTATATCTTCCCAGTTAATTTCTTTCTTTCTTTTTTTTTTTTTTTTTGAGTT